AAAGAGAGACGAAATTAATTTTGAAATAAAAATTAATAGCCTTAACATATTGCCCTAGCTTTCACAACATTTACCCCCACCCCACCCCTTTTTCACAAGAAGTGTGAGTATTTAATTAGCACTGACAATGTCATTTGGCCTCGACATTTTGCAAATTTACAGAGACACAAGCTAACAGATACTAAAACAACATACTTTAATCTTCTGCCATCTTACAAGCTTCTTCCAGGATTTTCTTTAGCACTGACAGAAAATCTAGGCTCCGCAGGAATATTGCTGATTCTGAAACAAAGTGTACATACAAACTGTTTTATCTCTATTCAATGTTAAAATTTAAAAGGGGTTTAACAAGAGACTTCATTTACGACTACTCTGCATCTGTTCAGTCAGCTTTCTGCAGCTTCTTGTAAAGATTTTTTTAAACCCTGAAACTCTGACTTTTTCTAAGGTATGCACCATCATCACCACAGTGCTAGATGTGAAACAGACATATGCAGTCATAGTTGTTCATTTATTTCTTTCCCATGATGCTCTAAAAAAAAACCTATCCTCCTGGTCTTTCCCCATCACCCGTTCGCTCAGGTTTTTTAAGTACAGTCGACCCTGTGTAAGACAGAATCGCAAGGGAGCTAGAAAAAATTATGTCTTAGACAGTTTGCGTCTTAGACAGGGGAATTTAGGAGGGAGATGGAGGGGGTTTGCAAAGACCCAGCCTTTGGGATCAAGGATCGCTGATCCTGTCGGCAAGCAGCGGTCAAAACTTCACACCTCTCAACTGCTATCGTCTCATAATGGGTCAGTCTTACTTATCCAATTACCACGAGTGCTTGCATTTCATAGGACCACTGTTTGACCTATTAAAAAGAGAAACGTTTGGACATCTCATTAGCGTCCACCCTTAGCCTCACCCACCGGAGTAACAAGCACAGTCAACCAATGCCACCCCTCACTGTCATGTAACAAAGATTCGAGGAATTCTTTTCTCTGCTGGCCGTACGATCAGGGCGGCAGGCATTGGACAAATTAATTTCACACCTCTGGCTTCTGGCTACCCAGGAAAGTTTCCGTTATGGCTTGCTACTCAAGCACTATCACTTCCACCCCACCCTAAGCATCTGTATTGCTCAGGGCTCACATCGATGGGGTAACATCTATCCTCAAATAGCACCCTACTCCCCTTCCTCGACTGGCGGCATGGCGTTAAGTTTACAGCCAGAGGAACCAAACTTGTGAGTTTTGTTTCAATTCAGGGCTGGTTGGGCTAAAGGCAGGTTTCTATTTTACACAGGTTTCTGTTCAAGCAGATTCGACTGTAAGTTGCTCTGGGTCTACACCTGCCTCATTTGCTGACAATTTTTCCTGTGAGGGCAAGACGTTCAAGGCCTTTGGGTCAATTCAAGTGCTCCAGAAACTGCATTTGTCTCTTCCAAATAGTTTTCATTGATGAGCAACCGACATCGGCTTTTTCAGTACTTTTTCATTTGATTTTTTTTCATCAATAAAATTATCAAAAGCGTCCTTAGACAACAGATTCCTGTTGCTTCTATTTTATTTTCATATTTTGGGTAAATTTCCAGCATTCACAGCCATACAGAAGGGCCTACCACACATAGCCTTTTACAACCTTATTTTAATACTCATTGAGATGTTTGTATTTCTCAACAACTACTAAAATAAAGGTTCTAAATGATCATGTTGATCAACCCTTCTATAGGGCTGTGAATGCTGGAAAATGTTTATCTTTGTCTATGACAAAACATAATTCTGACCACCAAGCATTGCTTTTGTTGGTGGGGCAACTTAAATTAGTCAGATTTCAGAAAGTTCTTCACTGTTAGAAAAACAAGGTGCCATTGCATACCAAGCTATCATACAAGATACAAAGACACCAATTTTTTTTGGTTTTAATCTGGAAAAGCAGTGCCTGTGCACTGTTGATGTAACTGGCCCTGCTGCTATCACTGCCAATTGGTCAGTTTTTATACTACTTTCTTTGTAGGAATAATTGTAGTTTAAGGAGGATACTTTGACTAATATTCCGATGTGTTGGAGAACTTGTACATAAAAACCTGGTGCCGTACTTGGACTGAACAGCAGCGCCATGGGGAAGTCCAACACGATCTAGTCTTCTGTTCGTTGGGTTGTCAACATAAGTTTTCACGAAGGAGCTGTTGGAATCATTTCTGGGGAAGTCAGTCAGTTCACATTATAAAAATGAACATTTCATACATTTTCAGATTACTTGCCATATATGGAAACTGAAAATAAGTAATATTTTAAGCACAAATAACTATTAACTTAAGCTTTAAAAGTTCTATTCATGAAACCATGTCCAATAACCTGTATTCTTTGCTGACATTTCAGCCTTTGCTCTTGTCTTAGCCTCAAATTTTGTAAACCACTCATAGTTTTCAGAGAATTCAACATTCATCTAATATAAATCCTTTATCCCAAGTAAGCAGTCAGTTACATTTTACACTGAGGTCCCAATACAATAGACATAAATTATAGACTTATAGAGTTCTTTGTCAGGCAGTATTAATTTTTTTTTTAAACCGAGATTTCATTTAATTAACATTAGAATTTTAAAAAATATACGTTTCTGGATTAAATTGCTTTGCATCCTCAACATTAGTATCCGTAACTCAGTTTCACATTTGTGATGTCAAGGTACATGACTCTTATCTTTATTATGGGGATAAGATAATTAGGGGAGTAGCACGCCCTTGGATGACGTCACATTGAGCCGCGGGAACTGGGCCGACGTCATCTGAGAGACACTCACTGAGAGATTCAGTCGCAGACAGGACAAGGACAAGGCAACATCTATCCCAGACGGGGGCCCCCTGACAGACCCGACTCATCGGACCGCCAGGTAACTTTACACACATTGACATTATAGTCTCACATCAGTATTTTTCTCTGGACAGTTCTGACCCAATGTACCAATTTGAATTTATAATTTATACACTTTTCAAGATCTAGGTAGTACAAAAGCGCGCTTTGTTTTACTTTGTGACTTTGTGCGTGTGATCCAAGATGCTAGGCCTATACTGTATGAAATCTGAGAATCTATATGTAGGCCTATTTTATTGTATATTTATATCTGAAACGTGATACGTTAGGCATCATGGTGAAATCCGGCGCCCATTAGAAACGACATTACATCTTTTGAGCAGTATAGGTTTATAAATAACTATAGATTCTAGCTTAATCTCTAAAGCTATGGTTTTTAAATTTAGCAGAGACTTCAAACATTAGAAGTAGGATATTCCCATGTAGATTATTTTGTTAAGTAACTTTTCAATTCTTTAAGTAGTTGTTCCAAAAAATAAAATTTTATGGCCAATTTTCTTTTTTGTTTTAATTTGAAATCTATAGATCTATTCATTCAAGACTCAAAAGCTTGGAAATTTGTTATAGACCCATGACAGCACAACACTTAGTTGGCTAGTGATGGTATGTGCAATAATATAATTCTAATCTTTTGCAGACTAGAACTGATTTTATTCACTCTCTTTGATGTCAGGAGGTTAGCCTAAATCATTAGTAGCCTAATATAAGCCTCACCTCACTTCATGGATTGGCCTACTGCAACCAGCTTGTGCAGCATGAGAGGGGAGCTTGCTAATTGAGCCAAACTTTGCAAATACAGGGTGATCCAAAAAAAAACTAAACAACTTTTTCTGCTGAATATCTCGCTAAAAAATTGTAGCCTACCGGGTTGTAATTTGGAGCAGATGAAATTCATCCAAAAGGATCCGCCCAACCATTAGTACTCAAGGCCACACACACTACACCTTACAGTACGGAGGTGTTTCTAGAATCAAAAGGAGGTAGGGTGAAGTTGCACAAATAGGCAGCATTTGTAGAGTTAACATATCCTGAAAGGTGAATATGGGCTTTGCCATGGAACCGAATGCCACAAAGGAAATTTTCATGCTTTTCAAAACGATGGAGGAATCAAGACCACATTGCTATCCTCTGGTCCATGTCAGATTCACACATAGGAAAAGGGTACAGTCATAGATGAAGATCTACCTTGAGAATGCAGATCGTTGAGATGAAGGAAAGTCCTAGCTGCAGACTTTGTGTACGGACAGCCATCTCATGGGGCTCATCTACACCCTGGTGACGTTTAAAGGGGTGCGAACGGTGTGTGTTTGACTCGAAGTGGTCATTTTGTCTGGGAATTTTAGTTCTGATTCTCTACAGATCCTAACAGTAACAGATGGATCATTTTTCCCCCTTGACATCAAAGAAGGCCTTAAGAACACTTTAACCTTATTTCCGCACCTTGTGCGAAACTTACAAAATGAGTAGGTGGTGAGGAAATGTTTAATACAAAAAGCTTTTTGCTCTTTACTAATCTTAACCATGATCTCAACAGGCAAAGGAAACTTGAGAAAAACTATCTGCAAACTTCCGTTGGCCTGTTACACTACTGTAGCTTGCAATATGGCCCAATTGTCGGGGCTTTTAGTGGTAGGCTTAATACGAACTAGTGTGTCATGCTACGAAAATGGGGACATAGCTGAAAATGGGTTGTTTTTTACGCGCTATGTAGAGAAAAACTATTCTGTGGATATTTCTAAAATTAATATCTAACAAATTCCTTTTGACTCCAAAATGTTGTGTACAAATTTGATACACAGAACTTCGGGACGGAGGAAAATATTTACCCCCAAATATTTTTGGGTTGGTTTTTTTTTTTGTATCACCCTGTACTTCACTGGTACATTTGTGAGCTATTTTCAAATGCAGGAAGAATAGTTCAAAAAGCATTTCAAAGCAAGGCTCAAAACAACAAACTTAAAAAAAAATGAAGTTTACGAAGACAATTAACCAAAATAAAAAACAAAATATCTATTCTTCGACACAAATACTCCTCCCCCACCCCAAAAATCGATACATTTTACTAAATAGTAAGACTAACCTATAAATAAATTTATTTTTTTTTTTTTAATTTGGAAAAAAAAATTAATAGCCTCAACATATCGCCCCAGCTTTCACTAAATTCACCCCCACCCCACCCCTTTTGCACAATAAGTGTGAGTGTTTAATTAGCACTGAGATATGGCACTCTTGACACAGACAATGTCATTTGGCCTCGACATTTTGCAAATTTACAGAGACACAAGCTAACAGATACTAAAACAAAATATTTTAACCTTCTGCCATCTTGCAAGCTTCTTCCAGGATTTTCTTTAGCACTGACAGAAAATCTAGGCTCCGCAGGAATATTGCTGATTCTGAAACAAAGTGTACATACAAACTGTTTTATCTCTATTCAATGTTAAAATTAAAAAGGGGATCAACAAGAAACTTCATTTACGACTACTATGCGAAAGAAATGCTTTTACTAATTTGGCTGCATCTATTCAGTCTGCTTTCAGCAGCTTCTTGTTGTTTTATTAAACCCTGAAACTCTGACTTTTTCTGAGGTATGCACCATCATCACCATGAAGTGCTCAATGTGAAACAGACATATGCAGTCATAGTTGTTCATCTATTTCTTTCCCAAGATGCTCTCCAAAAAAACTATATAATCCTGGTCTTTCACCCATCACCCGTTTGGTCAGGTTTTTTCACGTAAGTTGCTCTGGGTCTACACCTGCCTTGTTTACTGACAACTTTTCCTGTGAGAGCAGGATGTTCAAGGCCTTTGTGTCTATTCAAGTGCTCCAGAAACTGCATTTGTCTCTTCATAATAGTTCTCATTGGTGAGCAGCTGACATCGCCTTTTTCAATACTTCTTTTTTCTTTGATGTTTTTTTTTTCCTTTCTATAAAATTATCAAAAGCGTCCTTAAACAGCAGATTCCTGTTGCTTCTATTTTATTTTCACTATCTTTGGTAATTGTTCAGCATTCACAGCCATACAGAAGGGTTGACCACACATAGCCTTTTACAACCTTATTTTAATATTCATTGAGATGTTTGTATTTCTCAACAACAACTAAAATAAAGGTTTTATATGATTCTGTTGATCAACCCTTCTATACTGCTGTGAATGCTGGAAAATGTTTATCTTAGTCTATGACAAAACATAATTCTGAAAACCATGCATTACTTAGATAAGTCAATTTTCAAAAAGTTCTTCACTGTCAGAAAAACAAGTTGCCATTGCATACCAAGCTATCATACAAGATACAAAGACACATAATACACCAAGTCTTTAAAAAATATGGAAAAGCAATGCCTACACATTGTTGATGTAACTGACCCTGCTGCTATCACTGCCACTTGGTCAGTTTTTATACTACTTTCTTTGTAGGAATAATTGTAGTTTAAGGAGGATACTTTGACTAATATTCCGATGTGTTGGAGAACTTGTACATAACAAATCTGGTGCCGTACTTGGACTGAACAGCAGTGCCATGGGGAAGTCCAACACGATCTAGTCTTCTGTTCGTTGGGTTGTCAACATAAGTGTTCACGAAGGATCTGTTGGAATCATTTCTGGGGAAGTCAGTCAGTTCACATTATAAAAATGAACATTTCATACATTTTCAGGTTACATGCCAACTGAAACTGAAAATAGGTAAAGTACTTTAAGCACAAACAACTATTAACTTAGCCTTTAAAAGTTCTATTCATGAAACCAAGTCCAATAACCTGTATTCTTTGCTGACATTCCAGCCTTTACTCTAGTCTTAGCCTCAAATTTTGCAAACCAGTTATAGAGACAACCTGTTCATAGTTTTCAGAGGATTCAACATTCATCTAATATAAATCCTTTATCCCAAGTAAGCAGTCAGTTACATTTCCCACTGAGGTCCCAATACAACAGAAACAAAATATGTAGAGCATGTTCTTAGTGAAGCAGTATTAAAATTTAAAAAACAAACAAATGAGATTTCATTTTGAATCCACATGCTACTCAATTTACAATTTATTCACTTGAAAATCAAACATTGGAAAGTCCCATTTACTCAATTTTTTTATTCTGTAAGAGACAGTAATCAGTTCTTGAATACAGATCGACTGTATATGATTTAAATTCAGTCCAACTGATGTCGGTGTATTTCTAGATTTCAAGAGTTTGATATCATGTTACACTGAAAAATACTCTACTACCAGAACTTAAAATCAAGCCATTTAATCGCATGAGATTACAGCTCAACTTTAGTGTACTGAATGACTTACGTAGAGTAAGAGCTTGGCGAGAAAGAAGACGATGCTGAGGATCAATACAAATGCAGATGAAATCACTCTCCAATAACATGATCAGAGAAACATACTTCCACTCCAGCTCAGTAAAAAAAAACTTGTGAAATGCTTAGGCATCTGAATTTATAAAACTAACGTCAGTAAACAAAAACATTTAATGTCCAAAAAATTCAACCCATAAAACATTTTCACAAAAAGCAGACCACAAAACAACTTCTTGAACGTTATCAGTAATAACAGGACTTTTGCCTACTCCATCATCTAAAATATTACTAGTCAGAAAGAGTAAGAGTATGGTAATGTTGAATCTTGCAGACTCACAAAAAGCCTGAAAGTATTATTTTCAAATTTATTGTTGATGAAACATTTATAGTAAGAGTAAAAACAGTAATACAAAAAAGCCCATTACATTTTTAAGGATTTAGAATACTATATGTGATCAGAGAGCGAATGTTGTTTATTAAATGTGTATGTTTGTTAATAATTAAGTCTGAGAAAGAGAGAAATTGTTCCAAAGAAACTTCTTATACGATAATAGCAGTAAATCTCTAAGCCACGAGAGACCTCTCTACAAAAGTACAGAGTATATTCAGCTCTCACCGATTCAAAGTGAAACTCCATAATCCTCAAAATGGTACCCTTAAAAGACTATTCTTCTTTCAAAACCCAAAAAAGTGATTAAAACTAAGCTTGTAAATAAAGTAAATGAGGAAAACATAAAAGCTGATTCAGACTAACATTAGCCAAATATACATCATGCATAACATTGGTAGGCTGAAAATACAGGAACATTTGTTATTGTTGACTACCTGAATTCTCATAATCTAGGGTAAGAACACTTGGTATTTAGCTGGCAACATATTTTTAAAACAGCATGGACCAGATAGACAGAGAAGTTCATTTGTACCTACCAAATGAACTTTTTGCCGAGAAAAGAAAGGTCAGTTGTTGTTTTTTATAATCTTGTTAAAAAAGGGTTCTGATCACCAGCTGTGGCACTTGCTTTAACAATGTCATTGAAGCAACAAGTGAGTCAGTGTCTCTGGAGTATATAGAATATACTCTACTTTGACTTTTTCTTTGACTTTTTCATCCTCTGTTGTCGTTAAGCGTCGAGGAGAGATGCTGTTTTCCATAGTAGGCTAGCTCCGCAGCTCTTTCAGTTGTGATATTACGTTTTCTAAGCGTTTCCTTGACACCGTCGATCCACCTTTTTGCGTGGCCTTCATCTTCCTTTATAGCCTGAATGCTTGGTATTGTATACTCTCAAGGCTGGCTGGCCAGGTGACATACGTAACACGTGGCCAAACCATTTTATTCTCTGCCTTTCTATGCAATGTAAACTAGTCAACAAAAGTTCAGGAACGTACTGTAAAAAGAGTGATATATTTGTATACATTCTTTCGAGGTTTTACTTTTACTCGTAAAACTAGATATTGGTGAAATGTTACTCTATGACTAATGGGATTGTACACACAAGGGTTTGAAGTGCACGTGACTCCTGTGCGATGAGCTGGGGAGGGGGCAAAAAGGTCCAATATTTTCCAATTATCGATTTTTATTCTCTAGCTCTTACAGTCAGAAAAAATTATGAACGTTCAAAAATCAGTTTCCAATTGCAAGATTCATGTCTCGTGAGTGACTTGCACTCGCTCATTTGCACTGTGGATACACCATTCTGCTTCTGTAGGGCTAAGCATAAACATGCCTCCTCGACAGAAAGTGTCTGATGTAAACAGAGGACGAGCCATTGCTTAGGTACAAGATGGTGTTTCACTCCGACAAGTTGCTACACGTCTTCGAGTGTCCGTTTCTGTCATTTCACGGCTGATTCAGCGTGCCAACGCCACTGGTAGTGCCCAAGAGCGACCCAGATCAGGTCGACCAAGAGCCACTAATACAAGGGAAGACCGATTCATTCATAAACAGGCTCCGCAGTCGAGATCCGCTCCAGAAAATCACATCGGCAACTCGTGTTAACATTAGTTGTCAGACAATACGAAGACGTCTTCATGAGTTTGGACTTAATGATGCACGTCACCAGCAGTCCGCCAGCGTCTCACCCCAGCACACAGGGCTGCTCGTCTTGCCTTTTGGCGACGCCAAGTAAGATGGACACGTCAACAGTGGGCAAATGTTCTCTTCAGCGACGAGTCCCAGTTCTCTATGCATCACAATGACGGCCGTATCAGGGTTTGGAGGCGACCCGGAGAGCGGCTCCTCTATGAAGCCGTCAGAGAAGTGATGCCTTTTGGAGGTGGTTCCGTGATGGTATGGGGTGCTTTCAGTCTGAACCACAGAACACCTCTGTACCAAGTGCAAGGGAATCTCACTGCAATACGTTACCGAAATGAGATACTCCGTCCATTAGCACTACCCACTCTGCAGCAGATGGGGCCACATGCAGTGTACCAGGATGACAACGCCCGACCTCATAGAGCGTTGCTTGTCCAAAACTTCATGCAGCAGGCTGGCATCAACCGAATGGACTGGCCGGCCTGCAGTCCGGACTTGAATCCCATAGAAAACCTCTGGGATGAGCTGCAACGTCGAGTCAGAGACAACCACACCCCTCCAGGAGACGCGCAGCAACTGTTTCAGATGCTGTAGGCAGAGTGACAGGGGACGCCTCAGAGAGTATTCACCAACCTCATGAACTCGATGAGGAGCCGGTGTACTAAGTGCCAGGACAAATGTGGTGGGCATACTCATTATTGAAATCATCTGAATTGTTTTGTTTTTGTTGCAGTCAGAAGTTAAAATAACTTCAAAACCGCTTGACAATTTTTGGGATTTGGGATTTCAACCCCTACCAAACTCGATTAACTTTTCAAGCAAGTTAAAATGGAATAACTTAATTTTCTTTTTTGGTACTTGCTATACACATGTTGATTAAAATGTGTACCAAATCCCATTGCGTGTTGAAGTTTTCTTTCGAAGTTATACACTTTTTCTCAAATGTTCCTTAATTTTTGTTGACTAGTTTAGTTGCTCCTACTTCTTCATTTCTGTGCCTGTCCCGTCTTGTGATGTTACGGGTTTTGCGGAGACATTTCATTTCGAATGCAGCGATTTTGCTTTCAAGGGTTTTACTTTTAATGTCCAGGTCTGGCACTGGCAGCATAATGTTGGTATGAATACTAAGGTGATAAGCTTTTTGTGTCCATGGAGATGTTTGGGAGATAGGAGGGTTGCGAGCTGGTAGGTGACAGCATTGGCTTTTTGAGTTCGCATTTCTATTTCTCTGTCTATGGACCCGTTTTCAGAAAAAGTACGGCCAAGATATTTAAACTCCTTCACCTTTTTCAGTTGTTTGCTATTGACATGATGGTCAGAGGACTAAGATTTCGGCTCACTTTCATAACTTCTCTTTTTGATGAGCTTATTTTCATATTAAATTACTCGCAGCTGTTGTTCAGTTTGGTAGTATGATTTTGGAGACTTTGCTGGTTTGGATGAAAAAGACATTGGTCGTCTGCAAAAAAGAAGTTCATTTAGGCTTTCTGTACTTTGGTTTGCGTGTTTGCGTTATTGTGTTCTTATAATAATATATTATAAAAGGGAGGGGAGATAGAACGCATCCCTGTCGTACTCCATATCTTACTTTGAACCAGTCTGTAATGCCTTCCTTCGTTCTTACTGAGCTTCTGCTGTTGGTATAGAGTATTGGCTTTATCTAACACTTGTCCTCTGATGTATACTTTTCGAGTGTTTTCCAGAGTCTTGCAAGGTTTACTCTGTCAAAAGCCTTCTCCGGGTCTATAAAGACGTTGTTTGATTATATACATATTATATACATATATGTATAGGCCTACATATATATCATATACATATATACATATATGTATACATATATATCATATCTATATGTGTGACCTTGTGGGTTAGTCCTTTTGGACAAAGTCTAGCGGAGTAAACCGTACAAAAATCCAAAATCCAGCAGAAAGCAAAGGGAAACCACTGTTGAATGCTTTTCCCAAGAACGTCATAGATCAACGCAAAATTAAAAACATCGAGCCAATCCTATTATACGGGTGCGAAGCATGGACAATCAATAGACAGCTGGAAAAACAATTGCGGCGACAAAGTTGTGGTTCATAAGATGCATGCTGCATATATCTCATGGAGAGCTAGAAAAACAAATCAAGAAGTCTTCGTTGAAGCGAATTGCAGATGACAGCTTATGATTATACGAAAGCGACGCAAAATTCATTGGACACACAATGCGAAAGAAGCATTGGAGAATAGTGGAACAACATCCAAGTTTGATGGAAAGAGAGGCAGAGGCAGACAGAGGGAAAAGATACTGGACATGGTGACAACATTGCTGGGAACAGCAAGAACAACAGACGCCATCACTACAACGCTAGACAGAGTGAAGTAGAGGTCCATGATCGCCTACGCCAGTCAGCAAGGCACCTGATGAATATGTGTAAGGCAGCGTGGTTAAATCAGGCGCTCGTCAAAATAATGAAAATGAAGAAACCGGCATTTTTTCATCAGTTTTGCAATTGTTATGACTTTATATTTTTGGATCAACATCTTGTATGTCCATTTAAAAACACATTTCTGTGTGGATTTTACTGAAAAATGTTGATTAAAGGTAGAAAAACTGTAAATTTTCAGTTCCCAGGACTCTCAAGCTATGGAAATCACTATACTTCAGTGGCCGTTTTCTCGCTAATTTTACTTTTGAATCCAGGTGACCCCACATCTTTGATCGCAAATATCTCGACTTCTCTTCAAAATAAATGGGTATTTTCAGCGAAAGCAAGACAAATGAACACGCTTTAAGGTGATACCAATAATTCCAAATACCCCTGTGTGTGTGTGTGTGTGTGTGTGTGTGTGTGTGTGTGTGTGTGTGTGTGTGAGTGAGTGTGTGTGTGCTATGAACATTCACAACAGCTGAGTGCAACAACATCAACGAGATGGAAATAGTGGTAGGCCTATAGAAAAAAGGTCGCAATACTGTACCTCCTGATGCTGATGGTGTGAAAGACGCAAAAGACGACCCTTGACTGCCAAACCTGAAAGAAAAAATATATAATTGCAAATAAACCCCTCTTGTTTCCTGAGCTCAGCATGAATGAGTGGATATATTTCTATAAAAACTATTACTAGATCTACTTCATTTCAGAATTGCAGACAATTTCTGCTTACAAATTCACAAGACTGAGAGAGGTAATGGAGGGCATCCCATGCCTAAGGATCATGCTGCAGTGGATCCCTTCGTTCTGTGATGTCTTAGGAAATGAACAGGCGGACAGGATGGCAAAACCTGCTCACCGAAACAACAGCATTAACGACACAGAAATGAAAACTCTCATTTTTTTTTATAAAACAACTATTTAAAGCACAACAGACACCAGAAAACGACCATGCATGAGCTGTACCACCAACAACAAGTGATTATCTTCTGACTAAGAAGTCCACACACAAAACTCAGGGCAAACATGTGCTGTTGTTTTGAACTAGTAAAATCATTAAAATGCCAGTGTGCAGAGGCAGAACAAATTGTGGAACATGTCCCCCGGAAGTGCAGGACACACAGGACCCTGAAACAGGAAACGTGGCCAACCGCATTGACACTACAGGAGAAGTTGAACGGGCCAATAGAAGAACTAAGCAGAACGGTCCAGTATTATGACAGATAGATGTACTCCACTTCAAGAATGATGCGATCAAGAAGAAGAAGAAGACAACAACTTGTGGCGAGATAGCTGAAAGATGATATCAAAAGGTATTAAAGAATGATGAAATTTGCCTCAGGAACAAACAAGAGATAAGCAGGTGAGATTATTAAAAGAAGGAGAGCTCACAATAAAAAAGAAAGGTGTCCTCACGGCAAGAGCCTTTGTCCTAAAGATTATAGTTTCTGACAGCAGCTTTTTTTTCAGCTATTTTTTTTCAACCCTCAGTTCCCCTCTTGAATGCATTTGTTTGGTCTTTATTGTGACAAATATAATTTGAAAAGTATTTTTTTCTCAACACTGGATATCAACAGAATATGAATTTATTTTACATAAATGATGACCTCACTGTAACTAACCTGTTGTGGACAGTTCCAGAACTCCTGCTGAAGACAGCTGCTCCATGAGGAAGTCCTACACGCCCTAAACTCCTGTTTTGAGCGTTATCCACATAAAATGGCATACTTGCACTGGTACTGAAAAACGACAATATTAACATGCAGTAAAGAGAGTAGGGGTGTGCGAGTCCAGTATTTTTAGACTCAAATCTCAGTCCGAGAACTGGTATCTTGAGCACAAGCTGTGTGATATTCTGATTTTTCGTGTGCAGCGGTGAAGCGAGAGACTGACTTTGTCTTGGGACTGTGAGATTTTATACAATTTTTATCATTTTTATATTTTATAAACTAGATCTAGGAACTACTGCTGAGTCGCGAGCGCGAGAACGGAACAGAATCGCCACTCTTGCCTTCGGAACGCGATTCACGATTCACTTCAGCGGAACCCGGAACAGTATCGCAAAACGATTCCCGATTCACTCTCCTGTCGCTTTCACCACCTTGTGGCTTGTTTAACCTACTGCTGAGTTGAGTCACGAGCGCAAGAACGGAACGGAACACTTAGTATGGCTCCCCTTATTTTACAAAAGATGGTATAGTCCAACCCCCCTATTAAAACAAAATGAACGGGGTCCAACCAATAGATAGGCCCTATTAATCTCTCTGGGTTGGGCTTTTTTTCAGATTGTCTTTATAACACGTTAATTTATCAAGCAATATTTAGTGTCTAGAGTCTGACTGAATTTTTTTGGTACAAAACACACTTTTCATAATTTGGCATATTCACTTTCCAATGTTTTATATCCACGTTTGGAAAATTCACGTATAGGCCTATGGCATAGACCTGTTATTTAACTACCACACTTCTGTCCCCCCTCCCCCCCGGTCAATATCAGTCGTAAGATGCAGTGTCCTATTATCAGCTACGAGGGTCAAAAGACAAAAAAGTTACTTTCCATGACAGTTTGATCAATTCTGTTTCATTTCAGAACAAAATAAACAACTATAATCGACTATAAATATTTTATATTGATTTTTCTGGAGTTGTGTGGGGTTTGTTGTGAGCTTGGGTGACGAGATAAAGGAATTTGAACCTTGCTGGTGTGTAGTTGTGAGATTATTTACAGAAGCATATAGGGTACCTCATGGCCACCTTCGCCTGGACCAAAGATGGTAGTAGAGAATATTTACTTCAACATTCTTCATTCGCAACTTTTTAAAAAGATGATTGTGACACCTTTTCGAGCATGAAAATAATCTGAAATGTAAACAACTTGTTGTCACTATGCACGACTGAGCGCTCTGATTTGTTACATGGGATAAGAACGGTAACTGCTAGCTGTTATCGTCTGTTGATCTTTCAGTTTTACACTTGGATTGACTTTAAAAGTTCGTTTTTTAAATTGTGTTTTAGTGCTTTTATTAAAAGATTAATTAACCCTCTTCTAGATCTCTCAAAGCGTACTCCTTACAAAGAGGTCTCCGAGGCGGTCAATGTGCATGTGCGTGTGTATGTATGTGTGTGCGTGTGTTTGTGTGTTTGCATGTCTGTCTGTGTGTGTGTGTGTGTGTGTGTGTGTGTGTGTGTGTGTGTGTGTGTGTATGTGTGTGTGTGTGTATGAATACGCGCGTGTGTGTGTGTGTGTACTCTCGAATGTTTATGGTGCTATTGCAAAGGTATAATTAGGCAGCGTAAACACGGCACGTAAGCCAACTCGTGGCCTTCCGAGTGCATGATTTCTGCGAAATGGGAGTAATTCAGATAGCTCTTTCTTTGGATTTTTGCTGTAAAACACCAAATTATGATGTACACTTTTGAAAAGTTCAGATTTTCTTCATTACAATAGTGTAAGTTCTCGCGACACCCAAAAGGATATAAGCAGCGGATAACAGTAAAAGTAAGACAATAGAGTAAGTTGTTTGTATTTCTGATTATTTGGAGCTAGAGAATTGCTGTGGAAAGGAAAGCCCCTCGAGGTCAACCGGTTCAAAATGACACCCATGCATTCGAATGCTATGCAGAAAGACTGATGATTAAATACCGTCTTTTCATTGGCGAAGAACTATGCAGCTTTTGAGCGTGGTTTCTCGTGGTATATATTTGTAATTTGGCGTTTGGATAGAAAGCCTTTAAAAAAAGCGTCTACGTTTTCATAGTTTTCAAAGACCCTTTTAAACATGAAATGGGTAAAATACCGGCTAAAAACGGTACCAATAGAAGGAATAGTTATTTTTCTATTAGAATAAAGTCATCGGCTTGGAATTTTTTTGCAAGAATCCTTCTGTGAAACTACTGGAGTACTCAGTACACTACAGTATAGAGCCGACTCGCTCGTCGCGAGGGCTGGTACGGCCCCGGCCGGGACAACGCTCGGTGTTTTTATTGAAATAAAGACAGATTATCATGTTTGAGTTATAAAATACTGATTTGTAATGATCTCAGTCGTGAAAAAAATTAATAAATGAGCCCCTCTTTTTTAGACTCCTGGTATGTGAGGTTGCAATATAATAGTACATGTATATAATATATGTATATATATATACATGTATATATATATATATATATATATATATATATATATATATATATATATATATATATATACTCTGTCACATTTTAAGTATACACGGTGCTAAAATGAAAATTGCTAGTTTCACAAAGAGTCGATATTCTTTAAAATTTCAGAAATACGAATTCTATCAGTTTTAAAGACGAAAAAAGCAACAACAATACGGAATGTTAACTTTACAGGTTTATTCATGACTTACAAGAGTGTGGGGGTGGTCTACAAAAGTAACACGATCAGTAGCGTTGATGACGGCCTGGCATCGTCGCCGCCTTGAATCAGTCAATCGTTGCACTGCCTGTTGAGGGATGTTATTTCACTTTTCATGCGATGCTCTCTCAAGTTGAGAAAGTGTCTGAGGCTGGGGTTGTCGCATGTTGTTCAACTCACCTCTGGTTAGTCTTGCCGTTTTGAAACGATTCCGTAGATGCGACAGGCGTATAAAAAGATCCTCTCTTTGAGTAGTTTTTCTTCTCCCACGTTGGCGGCGTCGATCCTTTCCTGATTTTGTTGTATTTTCGCAATCCATTGTTGTGTACACAGTTCTTCGTGTTACATTAAAATGTCTCGCAACAGTGGATACGAAGGCACCCCCGCGGATCATTCCAACAAGCTGAATTCGCTCATTTTCTCGTAGGGAGTGACATCATGAAACGTAGACAAATCAAGTTTTATCACTAGCAAATTGTTACTAAAAGGACAAAGCTTTGATGTGTGCTTCTTTTTTAAACAAATCATTGCCGTATGATGAGTAATTCTAAAAAAACATGAAACATGTAACAACCATGCAGATACAAAATTACCCGCGCGTTCAGAAATCTGAAAACAGCTCACCAACGACAGCTATATCACGTAATCAGTGTGTAAATTTGAAAGTAATTGGTGGCATAGATTTTGTTTTATTGAGCTTAAAATGTGTATACTTAAAAATGTGACAGAGTATATTATATATATATATATATATATATATATATATATATATAGAGAGAGAGAGAGAGAGAGAGAGAGAGAGAGAGAGAGAGAGAGAGAGAGAGAGAGAGAGAGAGAGAGAGAGAGAGAGAGAGAATGACAGAAAAAGAGGTAATGTGCGCAAAGAGATTATATTATGAGAGTACGGAATGTATGATGCTGATGACTGATTAGTCTATGGTTGTACAGTACCAGTGTAAACATTAGGTATGTTTATTCACTTTCACTTTGGTTGTGCACATTGTTGAACCCAAAGAGCAACACTGTGAGCTAGGGGTGCTAGATCCGTTTTAAAAATCATTATTATTTTTCAAAAACATTTTTTGTATTAAAAAATGCAGGATTTTGTTCGCATGAATTTGTTGTATACACTGCCTATGAAGATCTACATATCCGTTAAAAAATACCCAATTGTTTACAGTCGAACACTGTAACAGATAAGTTGATGTCAGGGGAACTCTGTGAAGAAGAAAGATCATGTGTAAGGACCCCAGAAAACGTTCAACACAATGACTAAGCGGGAGTCGACTGTAATTTTCATCTTTCGTCATCATAGCTTCACTACCATATAATATGTAATCTTTGTGCCTTGCTTAAAAAAGAGAAACCTATTTTTGTCAACAATTTTACACAAATGTAGGCTATGTCAACTCTATTATGAACTTTGTTCATGTACAAACGTTCATTTTTCATTTTAAAAAGAGGAATATAATAATGTGTCGTGTGATGCTGTTCGTAAAGGGGACGTAATCCTGGAAATTTTGTGACTAAAGGGACGTAATCCCGATAATTTTTCTGCTACCAATTATGCTACTTCTTATGATCAAAGATAGTAAATAACAAGATGGGCCACTCAGCGAGGCCTCGTTTCCTGTCTCTATATTTTAGTGTCTCTGGTTATACGTTATACCAAAGATAGTACATAACAAGATGGGCCACTCAGCCAAAAAAGTGTCCGCAGGAAGTATGCTCTTTGCTTCAGATGGCGCTGCAGTGTGTTTTGAAGCTCTCTTTCGTTTTTCCAGAAGAAGAATAGGAATAGCACCTCCTTGCGTGCGCAGATCGACTGCTGTTCATCAGCAGTTCGGGTACGTTCAGTGCGTAGTTTTAGGGGTTTAAAAATTTTTTTTAATGACCTCTCGCCTTTCATTCTAAAGTCAAATTAAACTAAGAAAACCATCACCCTTTCCTCCGGAAGAGGTTTTTTGTCAGCGTAACCATTTTAAAAAAGCGTTCTTCCGAAATTTATTCCAAAACATGCTAGTTTCACTTTGATTTTTAAAAACTCAAATAGGGTAACTCTGTTCGCAAAGAGTGCGCTTTTGTGAAGAGGGCGCCACCAAATTTTGAGGACACTTTTTTAATTGGCTCAAAGAGAGAAGTGGCCCATCTTGTTATGTACTATCATTGCCTAGGCCTAGGGAGGCCTAGGCCTTTTATCGAAACGAAGCGCGTCGCGTCTAGCGGGGCCTAGGCCTAGCGCAATCAGAGAACTGGCCAAGGTTGCATTTGTAAAAAATGCCTCTACAATCTATACTCTTCTGGCCTACAGAAAAATTTACACATGTTGATGAAAACAGGACAACAGATTTTAAAATTGAA